ATATAATATATATATATATATATATCCTCTTTTGTGTATGTTTGTGTGGCGTTAGGTATCTGGTATAGGGCGTTGTATTCAATCACTGGCGAAGCAAAAAGACGTAGATGCAGAAGCTCAAAACAGAGCAAGGGCCCTCATCAGCTGCCTTAAAGACAGAATTGCTGCTGCAACGCAGCAGCAGCAGCAACAGCAGCAGGATCAGCAGCAACAACAGCTGCAGAGCGTGCAGCAGCAGCATCGGGACAGAAAGCAGGCCCAGATAAAACAAACACCACAAACGCAGCAGCAGCAGCAACCACAGCAGGAGGAACAGCAAGTGACGCTTCAGCAGCAGCAGCAGCAACAACAGCGGCAGCAGCGGAGAGAAGAGGATGACGAGATGGTGTGCTCTCCGTAAACCCTAACCCGTAAACCCTACGTTTCCTTTTTATCGTTTGTCCAGAAAAAGCGGCAGCAGCACGTAGTAAAAAGAAAACAAGGAAACGTTGCCTTGCTGCAGACATAGAGACAAAGAAAGAAGAAGATAATAGGAGCAAAAGAGACAAATAAAGACAAAACAGACACAACTAAATATATATTTTGTGTGTATATGACACAACAAGGAGACAGGAACCAAACAACAAAACGAGGGCAACGGAGGGCACAACACCAATAATAACTCCTAAATTACTACATGTATATATGTACATATACATGTATATGCGCTAAATATATAATATGCATTAGGTTATTACCTAGGGGGAAGAAAAAATACAGGGAAAGAAAAGAGACAAGAAGAGAAAAGGGAGAAAGGGAGACAAACAAAAAGAGACAAAAAGGGGAGAGCTTTACTGCTTGCTGCAAACCCTCAGCCTCCGAACCCAAAGCCCTGAACCCTAAACACTAAACCCTAGTCTGGTCATTGCTTCCACGTGCACCTAAAATGCAGCAATAATTGCACCAGGAAGAAGGACTGTCTGCAGCTGCACGTGTTACTCCTGCTACTAGCAATATTAATTTTTGTGTTGTGCTTGGTGTGCTGTTGCGGCATTTTTTGCCACTGTTACTGCTACTGCCAGCAGTAACAGTGCTGCTGCTGTTGTGGTTGCTTCTGCTGCAGTTGCTGCTGCTGCTGCAGTTTCTGTTCGTATTTGAAGGACCGTTCTATATTATTTTGCCTTAAGACGAACAAAAATAAATTTATTTGCCGCTGTCACATATTAAGTCTTAAAAAATATGTCAACACCCCCCCAAGGGCGTTGCTGCTGCTAGTCGTAAAGCTGCTGTTGCTGCTGATTAGGGACTGTCAGCTGCTGCACTTGCTGCAGTTGCTGCTGCTGTTGCTGTTCATATTTTTTGTGTTGATGCAGTTGCTAATGCTACTGCAGGTGCAGTCGCTGCTGCTATACATACGCTGCTGGTGCTGCAGTCACTGCTGCTACAGTCACTGATGCGGTTGCTGCTGCTGCAGTTGAGGCTGCTGCTGCTGCTACTCGTGCAGCTGGCAAGCAAATGAGACAACCTGCTTCCAACGCAGGCTGAAGCGGAAAGCCACTGAGGTCTGCTGTAGCTGTATTGCTGCTACAGCTGTGCGGCTGCTACTGCTGCTGTGCTGCTGCAGTAGATTTGCTGCTGCAGCTGGCTTGCTGCTGCAGTGGATTTGCTACTGCAGCGGATTTGCTGCTGCAGTGGTTTTGCTGGTGCTGCGGAATTGCTTCTGCGGTGGGTTTGCCCCTGCAGCTGGTTTGCTGCTGCAGTGATTTTGCTGAGGCACCGAGTTTGCTGCTGCAGTGGGTTTGCTGATGCAGGGGGTTTTGGTGCTGCAGCGGGTTTGCTACTGCAGCTAGTACGGCGGTTTCTGTGCCTGCGTTGTTCCAGCAGCTCCGTTTGAATGTGGTGCTGCTGAAGTAGCTACTTTTCTTATAGTTTGGCTGTTACCGTTGCTCCAGGCAGTGTAGTGCTGCTGCTGTGCGTTCGCGCCAGCACGAGCAGCAGCACCTATAATTCTTGTCGGATGTGCTGCAGCTAAAGCCTTCTCTGCTGCCGCTGCCGTTGCTACTGCTGCTGCAGGCTTTGCTGCTGACTGGCTACTGCAGCACAGAGAGACAGTTTGGTGTGCACAGCAGTGCATGCATTGGTTCGTCTTTCTGCATGCAAGTCGTGCTGCAGTAGGCCACAGCGCAGCAGCGGGGGCACACCAGCTGCAACGGAGACAATGCCTCCTCTTTGAAAGAAGATACAAACAACTCAACATCGCAAAAGGGCTCAGTTTCGTTGCTGCTGCTGCTGTTGTTGCCGCTGTTGCTGCTGCTGTAACTGCTGGTGCTGCTTGTGCTGGTGGTGCTACAGGGCGAAAGGGTCTCGCTGCTGCCGGCAACAGCGCTTTTGCTACCTCGCACCGGAAGGTTGCTAGTTGCTGTTGCGGCTTCTGGTTCTGCTTCGCCATCTGCTGCCGTTGCAGCTTCTTCTGTTGGTGTTGCTGCTGCTTCTGTCGTGCCTGCTTCTGTTGAGTCTGCTCCACTCGAGCTTGGAGTATCGGGGGGGCTCTCGGCCTCTGCAAGTGTTGCTTCCGTAGTTGCTTCTTCTGTTGCTGTTGCATCAGCAGATTCTGCTACTGCTTTTGCTGCAGCTGCTGCAGTAGCGGCTGCTGCGGCAGAACCCGATAGTTGCTTCATGTTCCGGTGCTTCTGCTTGCCTTTTCTGCCTCCCTTCTGGTGTTGCTGCCGCTGCTGCGGCTGCTGCGGCTGCTGCTGCTCGTTGCCTACTGCCTTACTATAGGACGCAGCAGCAACAACCAATTCCTCCTTTAAACTCAGCAGCAAACTACTGCTCTGCTGCTCCACAGCAACGGGGCCCCACAAGGCAGCTCGCACCAGCCACTTGTCGACGACTCCTGTGGCAAGCAGCATCGAAAGAGGCCAGGGATGCTGCTGTTGTTGCTGCTCCTGCTGTAGCTGCTGCTCCTGTTGCTGTTGCTGCTGCTGTTGTTTCTTCTGCTGCCGTCGCTGCTCCAACACTTGACGAAATCTTGCAGTCTTCTCCCTGCGAGCTTCCTCGGCTTCTTGCTGCAACAGCTGCAACAACTGCTGCTGCTGCTGCTGCTCGACCTCCCAGGCTGTGAGCGTTTGCTGCTGCGGCTCCTTAGTAGCGACAACAGCAGCAGCGGCAGCAGCAGGAGCACCCGCGTGCTCCGAATTAAATAGACGCAAGAAACGTGCAGTGTTGTCCGAACGCATGCAGTATGCACACCCTGCAGCGCACACCCTACACCATAAACCCTAAGCCGTACAAAAGCCTAATCCCTCTATAGCCCTATACCCTAAACACTATAAAACCCCCAACGAGTTGAACGTCAACTGCCCATCCTCTGCATGATGGCAACCAGCTTTAGACACTCTCCTTAAACCGTAAACCCTAAACCCTAAACCCATATTGACCTCCTTCGTTAGGTTTGGTCCCCCAAACGCAGCAGCTGGCGATTTCAGACGTGGACACACAGCAGCACTTTCGGATTCCCGTTCCTAACAACTCCCAAGCTGCCTGCTCTCCTGCACGCACCAACAGAAGCACTAACAGCAGTACGTCGCTTAAGCAGACAGCAGAAATCGACACCGACTAACACCAGCAGCACGAACAGCAGCAGCAGGAGGAGGAGCAGCAGAAGCAGCAGCAGGAGCAGCAGCAGGAAGAACAGCAGCAGAAGCAATACCTTGATTCCACTGATTAGCCCAGAGTTGTTTACAGCGGCGCCATAAGAGAAACCACTCCGTCCGCTGCTGCCGAATGACAGCCAAACCCGCTTCATCCCGTTGCAGCTCCGCCTGTACCCAAACACTAAATCCTAAACCCTAAACTTAAAGCACCGTGAACTCTATACAACACTACAGCCTAAAACCTATAAAACCCTCAACCCTATAGACCCCTAAACCCTAAGTATTGCTCTTATTATAACGCAAGTGTTGCAGTAAAGAAACAAAAGAGGGAGGGAAGAAATGTCTTAAGTATTCTTACCAAGACCTCTGCCACATCTCTTGATAGTTGCATGTTTGTTTCTGTATGCCAATGGAATTGCGAGTCATTTAATACCTGCATGCATGCACGCATGCAAAATAAACAATTTATATTGTTTTAGTTGTAAAAGGAGAAATAATACAAGCATATGCAATACTCAACAACAGCAGCACGTGCAAGGCCGCATGAACTTTCAGGGTCTAGGGTTTGCACAGCGGTTTAGGGATTAAGGTTTCCAGATTGGTTTAGGGTCTCGGGTTTGCAGAGCTGTCTAGCGTTTAATGTTCGCAGGGCGGTTGAGAGTATAGGGTATAGGGTTTAGGGTTTCTGACCTTGAGTAGGACCTGTAGGTAGTATACGAAGATGTTGATATTTTCGGGTTTAAGCACATGCATGCGCAGCTGCTGCAGCTGCAGCACGAGAGGGACAGCAGGTGCAGCAGCAAATAGAGCGAAACCCTCAACCCCCCTTGGATCTGTTGCTTGTTCTTGTAGAGTTAAATGCAGCAGAGAGACAACAGCATTGCGATACACCGACAGCAGAGAAGGCCTCAAACCGCCCTCTCCTGCTGCTGTTGAGGCTGCTGTTGATGCTGCTCTTGCTGCTGGTGCTGCTGGAGGCTCTCCCGTTGACGCTACTGCTGCGCCTGTTGCTGTTTCTGTCGTTGCTGTTGTTGCGGGTTCTGCTGTTGATGCTGCTGCTGCCGTCTCTGCTGTTGGTGGTGCTGCTGCGGGTTCTGCTTTTGGTGCTGCTGCCGCGGGTTCTGCTCTTGGTGGTGCTGCTGCAGGCCCTCCTTCTGTATTTGCTGAATTGGCTGAGGCTGTAGGCTCTCCAATTGCATCTTGTGCTGCTGGGGGGTCTGCTGGGGGCTCTGCTGCGGTTTCTGCTGCTGGATTGGTTGTTGCTGCGGGCTCTGCAGTTGATGTTGCTGCTGCGGGCACTGCTACTCCTGCTCCGTCCGTCGGTTCTGCTCCTGCTGCATCTAATGTTGCTACCGCTGCTTTGGCTGCTGCAGCTGCAGCCTGTGCTGCTGCTGCTTCGGCTGCCTCTGGAGCAGCAGAAATCGCTTGCATAAGTGCGCGCAGCACGACAACAGCAAGCAGTCCTCCTTTACTGCATGCAATTGCAATAAGGGGGGCAACAGAGCGCAGCAGCCTGCTGCTGTTGCAGAGAGCAGCAGCAGCAGGAGCAGTAAACTCGGAAGCAGCAAGCGACACAAGCAGATGCAGCGCAGCAACAGCCCTACATAATCTTTTCTCCTTCTTCTTGTCGCGGTAACCTAAGCTGCTGCTAGCAGCAGTTGGAGCATCTGACACAAGCAGCAGCAGCAGCAGCACAAGAAGCAGCAGCAGCATACTTGATATATATTACATAATACAAATATATTCGTGTATACATCTTCTTACATCATATATAACTATACATTATATGTGCATATGTGTACACATGCATACAAAATTGATTATAATTGTTGAATGTATTCATGTATTAATTAATTAATTAATTATAAATAAATAAATATTAATTAATTACCAATTAATCTATAAATTATTAATTAATTAATAATAAATTAGTCTTTTATTTACCTGGAGCATCGAGGACGGTCCTGAAATATTTCTCCCTTAGTGAATCAGCTTCTGCTTCTGTTGCTGCAACAAATGCGCCCAGCTGCTGCTGCTGCTGCTGCTGCTGCTGCCGCTGCTGCTGCTGCCGCTGCTGCTGTTTCTGTGGGGTTGCTGCAGCAGCTGCTGCATCTGCTGCAGCTGCTTCTGCCAATGCAGGACTTTCTTCAGCTGCAAGCGGCAGCAAATCATCAAGAGCAGCAAATGCCCCGGCTACCCAATCAGGCTGCTGCAGCAGCAGCAGCGACAAATACATTTGCTGCTGCTGTGCAGCAAACATTACACCAACTTCTGCAAGACGGTCTCTCTGCTGCTCGCTCTGTAGCAGCAGCTCCTGCTCCTCCTGCTGTTTCTGCAGCTGCTGCAGCTGCTGCAGCTGCTGCTGTTCATTCTTCAGCTGCTGCTGCTGCTCTTCGTCCACTCCCTGCACTTTGGCGAGTTGTTGCTGTTGTTGTTCCTGCTGCTGTTGGTGTTGCTGCTGCTCGACAAGGTTGAGCCCCTTACCGTCACCTACTGCCGCTGCTGCAGTTGCTGCTGTTTCTGTTGCTGTTGATGCTGCTGGCTGCTGCAGCGCACGTTGAAGCAGCGCAACCCAAGCAGCCTCATGCCACAGGGCCCCCCTAAGGAGAGGAAGTCCTTGGGAACTGTTTGTGTTTGGTTGCTCTCCTTTCTGCTGCTGCAGCAATACTAGCTGCTGCTGCTGCTGCCGCTGCAGCTCCTCCATTGCAGGGGAAGATATGTGCTGCATGAAGTGCAGCAGCAACTCTGCTGAGTCGACCTTGCGACTTCTTCTCTTGCGTTCTGCTGCTACTCCTTCTAAGGCCTTAAGAAGAGCTTTAAAGTGGTTTAGTGTTGTGCCGCTGCTGCTGCTGTTGCTGCCGTTGAGGCTGCTGCTGCTGAGGGAGCACAGAGCAGGGTCCAAGAGGGTGCAGCTGGTGCTGCAGCGGGTGCTGCTCTGGCTTGTAACGGATTCTTCCACTGCAGCAGCAGCAGCAGGAGCATCCACCGCTGCTGCTGTCCCTGCTGATGCAGCGTCTGCTGCGTTTGCTGCAGCAGCTGCAGCCGCTGCTGCGGTCTTGACATTTCGGCGACTGGAAGGACGTGTCTTTTGCTTGCGTGGCATTTTATAGGACCAGGGTTTACCAAACCCTAAACTCTAAACCCTAAACCCTAAAGCCTAAACCCTTGGAGGAGTTGAAGAGGAAACGCCTCCTGCGTGGGGGTGGTCCCGCGACAGCCAGCGATAGACACCTCTCGAGGGTTTAGGGTTTTGGGATTAGGGTTTAGTGTTTAGGGTTTAGGCGTTTGAGTTTAGAACATATCTGACTCAATGTTTATAGGAGTAAATCGATTAGGAAGACAAAAAAAAGTTGCAGATTTCGCTGTGGACAGGGACCGCGCTTCTGGTGCCCGGCTAGGGTTTAGGGTTTTGGGCTTAGAGTTTAGTCTTTAGGGTTTACGGCGTGGAGGCAACACTTTGATGCTAACGGTTTAAGAGAAGAACGCAAATAGCGTTAAAGAAGAATCTTTTAATTTTGTCCTCCTCGTTAACCCAACACTTTGCGGCCCCACGCTGCATGCAGCTCGACGCTATAAACCCTGAATCCTAAACCCTAAACCCTAAACCCTCAGTTAAGAAACATAAAATCTAAAATAAGGCATGAGTCAAAATATTTAAATTTCACCTATCTTTTATTTTGCTCGCCTAACCAGTCTTCCTTCTTGTCGTGTTTAGCTACCGAGACAACTCAACCTCTCAACCCCCTAGGGTTGAGGATTTAGGGTTTAGGGTTTTGGCTTTGCGTTCCTCTTCGAATTTCCCTTCAGAATTAAATGCCTAACTGAACACTTTAAAGTTTCAATCCCAGGGTCTAGGTTCTAGGGTTTGGGGTTTAGGGTCTAGGGTCTAGGGTCTGGGGCCACACAGCCAGCGGCAGCAGGAAAACCATCAGCGAGACAAGGCTTCTACTCTTAGTTAAAGAAAAAATTAATAACAAATGGATGAATAAAAAGAATAAAAAAGTGAATAATAATTAGAAAGAAAAAAGAAGAAAAAAATTAGTAATTAAGGACAAAAACACTGCAAAACCACACACCGCAGTCACGATATGTTTATTGCATTAAACAAAGAAGGAAGATTTATTTAATTATTATAATTAAAATAATTTAATTCCTTTTTAGTATTCCCTTTATTTGTATTTATATTTATATTTACTTTTCCTTTTATTCGTCCCTCCCTCTTTCTTGCTGCTGCTCTCTTGCTCTCCGTTCCTATTTCTGTTCTTTGCTTTTGTCTTTGCCCTTCCTTTTATTTCTTGCCTTTCTCTTTATTTTTATTTCTTGTTTTTTCTGTCTTTTTCTTTGTTTCTTGTCCTTGTCTTTGTTCTTTTCCCTTGTCTTCTTGGTTTCCTTTGTTTCTCTTCCTTTCGGTGGTCTTCTCTCCCCACTTTCCTTTTCTTCTTTGTTTCTTTTTTCTGTACCTTTTCTTTGTCTTTGTTTCTTGTCTTTTTCTTTGTCTACTGCCTTTGTTTGTTTCTACTGTCTTTGTCTTTGTTCATTTTCTTTGCATTTGTTTATTTTCCTTGTCTTTGCTTCTTTTCTTTATTTATATTTTATGTGTCTCTTGCCTCTTTCTTCCTTTAATTTCTTCTCTCTTTTTGTCTTTTTCTTTCTCTTTGTTTCTCTTTTTCCTTTTGTTGCCTTTTTCCTTCTTACTGCTGCTGTAGAATTATTGCGTTTATTATTATTAATATTATTATTATTATATGTTGCTATATAGATAATATTATAATATTAACGTAATATGTATACCCTGTATACATAATATATATATAATTAAATATATAGTATATTATTTTTATTAGTCCTTTTATTACTGCAGTTATTTATTTTCTCCTTTTTCTTGTTTTTGTTATTACCACACCCATCGTTCCTAAACCCCAAACCCTAAACCCTTGACCCTAAACCCTAGCCACTAAACAATCGACCTCAAAGCCCGCGACACTTCCGTGGCAGTGGGTATTTATCCTTCGAGTTTTGCATTGACACACCTTAGGGCTTAGATTTTAGGGTTTAGGGTTTAGGGTTTAGGGTTTACATCTTCTAGATTGTGCTGCCTCCAACTGGACGCCCACAAAGGCAGAAACGAAGTTAGCAGCAACACCTGCAGCAGTGAAGCAGCTGCTGCTGCAGCAGTTGCGACAGAAGCAGTGGACACTGCTGCGTGTGCTGCTGTTACTGCAATTGTTTCTGTTGCTGTTGCTGGGCTCTCCTGCAACGTCCTTATGCTTAGGGTTTAGGGTTTAGAATTTAGGGTCGGGGGGGGTGAACAGAGGGATGCTGCTATGAGTTCTTCGTAGATACATTCAGTTTTTGCTGCTTTTTGTTCTAGGTTTGTCGTTGTTGTCGGTATTGCTACAACTGTTGCAGCTGTTGCTGCTGCAGGCGTTCCTGTACCTGTCGCTGCCTTATGCCCGATGGAGGTCTGTTGCATCAGAAAATGATTGAAATAATGCCTAATACCTCATTAGGGTCACTAAAACATACATGTGTATGCATTGATGATGTTGTTTATGCTTATTTCAGTGTTTTTGTTGCTTTTTGCTGCTGGTTCTTTTGGGCAGCAATGCCTGGCGCTCGGCGGTGACACCAGCAAGGGGTGACGCTGGATGTCTGTATGGGTCAAAGGCGGTTTAAAATTTAAGAAACAGGGAGGAAAATAGATTAAAATAACTAAAAATATTTAAAAGTATAAAAACGACTAGCAGAAGCAGCGAATATGATGCTGCATGTGGGGAGAAACCCTCAGGCGCAGCTGTTACCCATATGCCGCACACACAGGCAAGGATAAATGTTGCGTACTAGCAGTGAAATAAACCGCCTTATGCCGGTGTTGCACGTTCTTTACTATTTTACTTCTTTATTTACCTTTTATTTCTCCTCTTAAGCCCTCCATAAGGCAAGAAATCGCCAACAGCAAACCGCAGCAGCAGCAGCAGCAGCAGCAGCGCGCGCCGCAGCAGCGGTCACTTCCGCTGTACGTACATTCCAGCATCAACAATCAACATTTTCTTCCTTTTGCTGCCTTTCTTTTCCTTCAGGCACTCAAGAACCTCCCCCTGACAACAGGTACTGCAGCCTACAAGGCTGCAACACAGCAGCAGCAGCATCAACAAGAGCAGCAAGAGCGGCACGTGCAACAGCAACTGTTGCAGTAGCAGCAACGGCGACCACTCTGTTTTTGCTACAGCTAAGCTTAACACATCTATGTTTTGCTGCTGAAGCATTTAGAAACAACGCCGGAACGGCAGCAGCAGCAGCAGCAACAGCAGCGGTGCCCAGGGCTACGCCGCGGCAACAGCAGCAGCAACTGATCTAATAAGAGAACCGATCAGAGCCGCAGCAGCAGCAGCAATTGAAGAGCCAACAAGCCTTTCATACTTTGCCGCAGCACGAGCTGCAACACAGCCGAGCTGCTGCTGTTGCTGCTGCACTTGGGGCCGTGTCTGTTCTCTCGCTCAGAAAGAGCAGCAGCAACAAAATACAGCAGCAACAGCAGCAAAAATAAAACCAGCAGCAACACCAAAACTCCGCAGTGACTTCAAGGGACGCGGCAGCATTCGCAGCAGCAGTCGTAAAGAAGGCAGCGACTAGCACCACCTCCACAGAAGCAACAACAGCAGAAACAGCAGCAGCAGCAGCAGCAGGAAGCAGGTTTGTTGTTGGAATGATTTGAAGGACTCAATCGAGCCCTTCTTGATTTGCCATTTCTCGGTGGAGAAACACCACCGCCGGTACAACAATAGCAGAAGCAGCGGCAGCAGCAGAAACGGCACCAGCACCAGCTGCAGCAGCAGCAGGAGCAGGCGCAGCAGCAGCAACAGCAGCAACAGCAGCAGCACACACCTCTCCGTACACATTGGGGGCCCCACAGGTAAGGTCACGGGAGTGAAGGGGCCCCTTTGGCTTCACAATGCCTCATATGACTCGTCGAGACGTTCCTGCTGCTGCTGCTGCTGCTGCAGCAGCAGCTCTCACAGACAGCAGCAACCCAGTTAGTAGCAGCAGCAGCAACAGCAGCAAAAGCAACAGCAAACTGCCGGGTGGCGCCCGGCATCAGAAGGTAGAAGGAATAAAAGAAAAAAACAAAAAAACAACAGCAACATCTGCGCAACAAGACAGGAAGCAGCAGCAGCAGCAACAGCAACCGCAACAACCGCAACAGCAGCTGCAATCGCAGCAACAGCAACAACAACCACAAGCACAGCAACAGCAGAAAACAAAACAGCAGCAGCAACCACAACAACAACAAGAACAACTGCAACAGCAGCAACCACAGCAACAGCAACCACAGCAACAGCAACCACAGCAGCAACCACAGCAGCAACCACAGGAGCAACAACAACCACAACAGCAACCACAGCAACAGCAACAGCAACAACAACAGCAACAGCAACTCCAGCAACATCAACCAGAAGCACAGCAGCAACAGCCAAAACAGCAGGTACAAGCACAACAACCTCAGCAACAGCAGCAGCTGCTGCAGCAACAGCAGCAGCAGCAGCAGCAACCGAGGGGGACAGCAAAAAGGGGAGGAAAACGGGGAGGCTCAGGAAAAGGAAAGCAAAAGAGAAGTTCGTCGGAAACTCGCAATGGAACGCAGCAAGCTGCTGCTGCTGCTGCGGTTGCTGCGGCTGTGCAGCAGCAGCAACAACAGCAACAGGAACAGCACATGCAGCAGCAGCATATGCAGCAACAGCAACAACAACTCCCACACCAGCAACAACAAACGCATCAACATCAACTGCAGCAACAGCAACTGCAGCAGCGGCAGCTTCTGCAGCAGCTGCAGCAGCACATGCAACAGCAACAACTGCAACAGCAGCCAAGAAGAAGCAAAACCAACGGAATTCCCTTGCCCTTGGCAGCAGCAGCACAGCAGCAACAACAGCAACACCAGCAGCAGCTTCTGCTGCTGCAGCAGCTGAGCTCAACCGTTAACGAAGCAGCTGCTGCCAAGAAAGTAGAGAGAAGCACAGAGGAGCAGCAGCTGCTGCTGCGGCAGCGCCTCATAGAGCTGCAGCAGCAGCAACATTTGCTGCAGCAGCAGCACATGCAACACCAACAGCAGCAACAACTCACGCGGCAGCAGCAGCTTCACCGTCAGCACCTCCAGCAGCAAGGACAAGACCATCTGCTGCAGCAGCATCACATGCAGCAGCAGCACCTGCAGCAGCACCAGCTCCATCCCGAGCTGGAGCAGCAGCATATGCAGCAACAGCACACCCAACAGCAGCAACTCCACCAGCAGCAGCTGCAGCAACTGCATCAAGCACAGCAATATCTGCAGCAGCATCCACATCTCTTCGCGCAGCATCTACAGCAGCTGCAGCAGCAACAGCAGCAGCTTCCCATGAAGCTGCAGCCCCAGCAGCTACAGCAGCAACTACAGCAGCAGCTGCAGCAGCAGCAACAGGTGCTGCTGCCACACCTACAGAAACAGCCGCAGCATGTCCACCAAACCCATGATCCCACGCAGCAACAGCTGCTACAGCAGTTGCAACAGCTACAGCATCTGCAGCAGCTACAACAGCAGCAGCAGCAGCAGCATCCCGCAGGAGCAAGCTTGGGTAACGAGGATAGACTTGTGCTGCAGCTAGCTTTGGAGCTGCTGCAGCGTTCTGGGCAGCAGCAGCAGCAGCAGCCACTGGCTGCTGCTATTCAGAAGACAGCTGCAGCACCAGCGGCAGCAGCAGCAGCAGCAGCAGCAGGGAGTCGTCTTGGGTCGACTGCTGCTGCATGCAGACGAGCAGCAGCAACTTCAGGGTTTGCTGCTAATCACAGCTGCGACGATTTGCTGCAGCCCTGGGAGAGGGCAGCAATGAGTACAGTAGCAGCCGCAGAAGCAGCAGCAGCAGCAGCAGCAGCAGACCAGGGAGTGCCGCACCTTGGTGTGGCTGCTGCTCCTCTGCAGAGACACGACAGGCCTGTGTTGCTGCAGCAGGCTCTGCTCCAGCAGCATCAGGAGCAGCAACAGCAGCAGGAACAACAGCAGCAGCAGCAACACCTGTTCCATGAATTGGAGGTTCCTCCTGCTGCAGTGCATGCATCACAGGTGTCTGCCTCCTTGGCTTCTGCTACGTCTCCACATCTATCATCGTCAGCAGCAACTGCTGCAGCAGCACAGCAGCAGCAGCAGCAGCAAGTAGAGTTAGGGGGTATGAAGGCAAGAAGACTAGAGAAGATAAATGTTGAATATTTAGGTGGCAGCAGCAGCAGCAGCAACACGGGGAGACGCTCGGGTTTGCTGCAGGTGCATGTACACCCGGGTACATATGTTGGGCCACAGGGAAGAAGGGAGAAAGTAGTTGTTAAACATTTGCTGCTGCAGCCTGCAGCTGTTGGTAGTCCTCTGTGGCAGCAGCAGCAGCAGATGCTGCAGCAGCTGCTAGAGTGGCAGCGCAGCAACTGCTGCGGTCTCATCCGCATTAAGGCATTCGAGCTGCAGCAGGAAGGTGCAGCAATCTGCTGGAGTGCCCCTAGCAGCAGCAGCGACGACAGCAGCAGCAGCAGCAGTGGCAGCAGCAGCAGTGTGTTAATGAAGACGGCAGATGATTCTGCTGTTGCTGCTGCTACTGGAAGGAGAGAAGTATTTGTTGTATTAGAGGCAGCAGCAGGACCATTATATAAACAAATAAATCTACAGAAATTGCAGCAGCAAACACAAGGAGATGGATTTACACCACCACAAGGAGGTGCATGCACGAGGGTTTGGGGTTTAGGGTTTAGGGAATTGCTTGTTTGGGTGTATTATTTTATTTTATTAATTATAATTAACTAATAATAAATAGTACTTAATTAGTAATAAATATTAATTAGCAATAAACAGATATATACATATATACAAAGACATACACATATATATACATATATATATTCATGTATATTTATGTGTTTTTGCACGTCTTTGTGCATTATTGTATATAATAAATTATTTAGTATATTCATTAATATTAATAAGTACACTAAACAAATAATAAATATAAGTAATTAATAAATTAATAATAAATAATAAATAATTGCGTGTCTTTGCGTGTCATTATATGTCTTTACTGTATTAGAGGTAATAAATCAATTAATTTATTCCTTAATATTATTACATTCCCTTTTTATATGTCTACTAATCCTAACTAACCAATACATCCTCGTAATAAATAATAAATAAATAAATAATAAATAATTATGTGTCTTTGCGTGTCTTCTGCTCAGTACTAGTCGTAGTAAATCATTTAATGTCATTAATCCCTATATATAACAAACCAATCCATCCTACAATAAATAAATAAATAAATAAATAAATAAATAATAAATAATTATGTCTGTGTCTGCAGCACTAGACGTAATAAATCATTTAATACATTCCTTAATATATTTATATTCATTTTTATCCCGTCTTTAATCCTAATATGCATAATAACCAACCAATCAATCTCCACTAAATAAATAAATAAATAAATAAATAAATAAATAAATAACTGGTTGTCTATGTCTGCAGTACTGAACGTAATAAATCATTTAATTCATTCCTTAATATATTTATATTCATTTTTATATGTGGCACTAACAGACACTACCCAACCAATCCATCATCTTAATAAATAAACCCTAAATAAATAAAATAAATAAATAAAATAAATAAAATAAATAAATAAATAAATAAATAAATATGTATGTGTGTGTCTTACTGCAGTCTTGGATGTAATAAATCATTTAATTCATTCATTAATATATTTACATTCTTTTTTATATGGTAAAGGTTTCCATCTAAATTTGTCACCAAAAAATATTTTTTTGAAAAATTCAAATTTTCAAATAATTTTTGGCGATAATTTTAATTCTTTTCGTTTTTTATTTCTTATTGCACATATTAGACATTATTATACTATTAATCATCTTGTTACTCCTCAACTTGCCCTTAAACTAGTAAGTATATTCTTCTTTTTCTTCTTCTTATTGTTGTTGTTGTTATTGCTGTTGTTGTTGCTCCTGTTGATGGTGCTGTTCCTGCTGTTTTTGTTGTTCTTCCTGACGTATTGCACATATTAAACATTATTATACTATTAATCATCTTGTTACTCCTCAACTTGCCCTTAAACTAGTAAGTATATTCTTCTTTTTCTTCTTCTTATTGTTGTTGTTGTTGTTGTTGTTTGTTGTTTGTTGTTTGTTGTTTGTTGTTTGTTGTTTGTTGTTTGCACTCAAACTTGTAAGAATAATTGTTTCTTTGGCTGCTGCTGCTGTTGCTGCTGTTGCTGCTGTTGGTGATGATGCTAATTATGTATATGCTGCTGTTGGTACTGTGTCAATTGGTGTTGCCTTTACTGCTGGTGCTGTTGCTGGTGTTCACCTTTTGCCGGTGCTGTTGCTGTTGCTGCTGTTGCTGCTGCAGTTCTTGGACGACACGGAGCGTTTATTATGGACATCACCGAACTTAATAAGAAGATTAAAGTTGCTGCAGCAGCAATTGAATTCACTAATGGCCTTCCATGCCGAGCACCAGCATCTGCTGCAAAACCATCAGCAGCAGCAGCAGCAACATCTGCTGCTGCTGCAGCAAGGAGATACATGCATGATCCCTAGTGAGAAACAATCAGCTATAGCAGCAGCAGCAACAACGGCACCAACAACTCCTGCCTCTGCTGCTGTTGCTGCTGGTGATGCAGCAAATATATCTCAAGAAGCAACGCAAGAAAAAGGGCCTGCTGTTGCAGGATCTGCTGCTGCTGCAGCAAGTACAGCAGCAGAGACGCCTGCAGCTACAACAGCGTCACAAGCAGCAGAAGATGCAGCAGCAGTGCATGCAGCAATTGAACAACGCTTTGCTGCTCTCCATAAACTTGCCGATCTCCCCGTATCACTGCAGCAAGAAGCAGATTGCTGGTCTCTAGGTAAGTGTTTAGGGTTTAGGGTTTAGGGTTTTCTTGACAACAGCAGCAGCAATATGTACATCCTGCTGCTCCACAAAACCCCCATAAACCCTTACCTTGCTGTTTTTACTGCTTGTTCTGCTGCTGCTGCTGTTGCTGCTGTTTAGGGGCTTGTATATTCAACATAGTTACTGGTGGTCAACATCCTTATGGCTCTCTCTCTAATCCAAAAGAAACACTCGAAAACATGGAAAGGGGAGCGATGGTCAACATGAAACTTGTGAGGGTTTAGGGTTTAGGGTTTAGCTTGTCTGGCCTAGGGATGACAATCTATTTGCTTTTGCTGCTAGAAACGGATCGCATGCTTTAGGGTTTAGGGTGTATGGTTTATGGTTTAGGGTTTATGTGTTTGTTTGCTTGCAGCTGGACAAGTCTCCGCTGCTGCAGGATTTGCTGCTGCTGCTTATGCAGCAGCAGCAGCAGCAGCCTGTGCTGCGTCTTGCTGCATGCCACCCAATTTTTTGGGCTGCGCCAGACATGCTTCTGTTTCTTAAGACATTTAGACTTATGCTGCAGCAGCTTGGCGAAGAGGAGCAGCAGCAGCAGCAGCACAAATGCAGAGAGGTGACAGAAGCAAACATCTGTACCAGCACCACCGACAGCAGCAGCAGCAGCAGCAGCAAGAAGCAGCTGGATTCCTCTGCGATAGCCCCAGACGCTGCTGCAGCAAAACCTTCACCTCGTGCCCCATCCCCCGGACCATCATCAGCATCTTGTGGTGCTCCTGCTGCTGTTCCGGCTGCCCGTGCAGCAACAGCAGCAGCAGCAGCAGCAGGAGTTAGCAGCGAACATCAGCAGCAGCTAAAGAAAGCATTAAATAAATTAAAAGAAATGAAGTTAGGAGAAGATGTGCTTCAATCTGTTTGCTGCGAACCTCATCTACGCCATACAGGAAAAAGGCTATTCCCTCATCATACAACGGTCCGTTGCTGCTGCTGCTGTTGCTGCTGCTGTTGTTGCTGCTGCTGCTGTTACTGCTGCCAGTATTGGTGCTAGTGATGCTGCGGCTAGAATGATGTGCTGCGGTACCTGCTGTTGCTGTGCTTGATGTAGCTGCTGTGCGTGGTGGTTCTATGGCGTGCCCTGCTTCTCGTGATGCGCATGCTGCTGCGACGGCTGCAGCAAGTGCTGCAGCAAGTGCTGCTGCAAATGCTGCTGTAATACTGGGGGCTCCTGGGTATGCTATGCTGCAACAGATTGGCAAGTTGCTGCTGTTAATGATGATTGCTGCTTGCTGCTGCTGCGTCTCCCTGTTTGTGCATGCGCAGCTATTCGGACCGCCAGAAACGCCAGCAGCAACAGAAGCAGCAGCAGACTCAGAAGCAACAGGTGCTGCTGCTGCTACTGCTGCAGATACAGCACATAAGCCCGCAGATGCCACGTATGACTCTGCTGCTGCGGCATGCAGCAGCAGCAGCAGCAACAGCACCGAAGGTACAGTGCAAGATGCTGAGGGGAGGTCCCCTGAAGCAGCAGCAACAGCAACAGCACCAGCAACAGAAGAGGAGCATGAATGCTCTCCCCTGGGCTCAGCAGCAGAAGCTACAACCAGTGCTGCTGCTCCTGCTGCTGATAGCGGTGCTGCCGATGCTGCTGCAGATGCCGAGACAGCAGCAGGAACCCCAGAAGCGCCAGTGCAAGACTCTGCTGCTACTGTAGATGATGCTGCAGAAGAGGATCAAGCACCATCTGCAGCAGCAGCAGCAGCAGCAGCAGCACCAGTTGCTGGTGAAGAAGACGCTGCAACAGCAACAACAACAGCAGCAGACGTAACAAATGCTGCAGCAGCAGCAAAAACAGCAAAACCTCCTTTCTCCGTATTCGAGTTCTTGCAGCTACTGGCTGCCTTCGCCAACGACGGTAGGGCCGTTGCTGTTGCTGTTGCTGCTGCTGCTAATGCTGTTCCTGCTGCTTCTAATGCTGTTGCTGCTGTGCCTGCTTCTGTTTGTTACTGCTGTGGCTACCTGTGCTGCTGCTCGTACTCATGCTGCTGCTGCTGTCGATGTCATTGTTTCAGATTTTCCTGGCTCTGCTATTTTATGTGGCAGTGCTGCTGCTGCTGCTGCTAATGCTGCTGCTGCTGCACTGCCGCATGAAGTGGTTAGTGTCTTGGCTGTTTCAGGGGAGTTTACCGAGGAAGAGTGCAGCAGCGTCCTTGTGAAGCTGCTGCAGCAGCACCCGCAGCTGCTGCTGGCAGCAGCAAGGTCGGGTTTAGAGCCTCTTTTCTTAATGGCCTTCCCCCCTGTAAGCGATCCTGCTGCAGCAGCAGGAAGACAGGAAGCAGCAGCAGCAGCTGCTGCTGCTGCAGCTAATCGGTTGTCCACAACAGCACCAACACCCGAGGAGTCCGACGGCCACTTGTTACACCCCCAGCACCACCAACCACCGCAGCCGCAACAGCAGCAACCGCAGCCGCAACAGCAGCAACCGCAGCCGCAACAGCAACAACAGCAGCAGCAACATGCCGCAACCATACAGACACAAGAGGATTTTGCTGCTAAATCATCCCCTGACGTTAAGCAACAGCTGCTGCAGATGCAGCAGCAAATAGATAATCGTGTCCATGATGCATTTAAGCATCATCTAGTGCAGCATGTGCTGGAGAAAACATCCGAGCAGCAGCAGCAGCAGCAACAGCAACAGCAGCTGCAGCATGATTCTCCTAAGCAACAGCTCATGGATAGTGTCAGGGCATGTGCCCCACCCGAGCTGCAGCTGCAGCACGATCAAAAGGCTGCTGCTATAAAGCATCAGCAGCAGCAGCAGCTGTTGCTGCAGATGCTGCAGGAGCAGAACGTCGAACATGATCAGTGTCGGCAGCACCACCAACTCTCTGGGCAACAGCAACAGCAGCTGCAGCAGCAGCTGCAACAGCTGCAGCACCAACAGCTCCAACAGCAACAGATTCAGCAGCAACAACTGGAGAAACAGCAAATGAAGCAGCAGCAGCTACAGCAACAGCAACAACAGCTGCAGCAGCTGTTGCAGCAGCAACACCCCGAGTACGGCATGCAACTCCAACAGCAACAGCAGCAGCAGCAAGAGAGGCTTCCCTTAGGGCAACAGCAGCAGGCGTGGGGACCCGCAGCAGCAGACAACGCTCAGCTGCTGCAGCACCTGCAGCAGCTAATGAAGGTCTTGCACCCACAATCAGCAACCACAGAGGAGGCAGCAGCAGCAGCGGCCGCTGCTGCTGCTGCTGCTGCAACAGCACAACGATTACCAACTGCAGGCCCCGCACATGCCCCGGATCTTAATGCCCAAACTGAACCAACGCTGCAGCAGCTGCATTCGCAACTGCAGCAACTGCAGCAGCTGCTGCAGGTGCAGCAGCAGGGGGACCAAACCACAATCGATATGCGGACAATTGATCTTCCGCAGCAACTGCAGCAGCAGCAGCAGTTTCCAGCCCCCCAACACGAGCAGCAACAACTGCAGCAACAGCTACAGCAGCAGCAGCAGCAGCAGGTGCAGCAGGAGCAGCAAGAGCAGCAAGGACCTGTATATGGCATACAAAAGATGTTAGCTATGCGCCCTAGCAGTATGCAGCAGTTTATTGCTGCGGGAGGGACGCCGTTGCTGCCGCAAGGGACTCTGTTACTTGTTAGCAGCAGCAGCAGCAGCAGCAGCCCCGAGAAGGATTATATAGGCAGGGGACCCAGGCGACAACAGCAGCAGCAACAGCCGCAGCAACAGCAGCAGGAGCCTCGCCTGCAGCAGCAGAGGCCAAGACAGCAGCAACTCAATGACCTGCTGCTGCAGCCGCTGCAGTACTTGAGGCAGCAGCAACTGCTCCGTATGCAGCAGCAACAGCAACAGCAGCTGCTACTGGCAAACAAACAGCAACGTGGCCGCGCAATAAGTCAGGGAAACGCCGTCCCGCCGCTGCAGCAGCAGCACAGGGCAACCAGCACAATCTGTTTGGGCAATTGAACAGCAACTTGCTACTCTGCTGCAGCGTTTGCTGCTCGCGAATACCCAGCAGCAGCAGCAACAGCAGCAAGATGGGGTTTCACCCAGGCAGAATCTTCAACAGCAGCAACAGCCACCTCAGCAGCAGCAGCATATGCTAGGCAAGCACGATACAAGAAGGCCACTGCAGCAACAAAGCACAGCAGCGCCAGGTGCAGCAGCAGCAGCAGCAGAGCCTTCTCTAGGACCTACACACACCAAGGGCGACGATAGTCTTGCTAGCAATGTGAATGGAACAGCATGCGGTGCAGCAACAGCCCCAAATGCAGCAGCAGCTGTTGCTGCTGCTGCCGCTGCAGCAGCTGCTGCTAATGCAGCTGGAACCGATAGAGACGTGCTGCTGCAGCACCTGCAGCAGCAGCAACAGCAACACCTAATCTTCGAGCCAACCGACTTGTATTATACGCAGGAAAGAGGCCAAAAGCAGCAGCCTTTGCAGTCTTTGCTTCCGGGGAAGCAGCAGCAGCAAGAGCACCAGCAGCAGCAGCACGGGCAGCAAAAGGCAGACGGGCCTATAGAGCAGCACCTGCTGCAGCTGCTGCTGAAGGTAGCAGCATCAAAAGGAACAAATTATGAAGAGATGCTGCAGCAGCTAGCCGCCGCCGAGCATAGGCGTTTGCAGCAGCAGAGGCTAACTCCGCAGCATCCCCAGCAGCAGCAAGTGCAGCGGGAGCAGCAGCAGCAACAGCAGAACCAGCAGCAGAATGATCTGGGCTGTTCCACCGAAGAGAGGGATATTGTGCTAAAAGCTCAGCAGCACCTGCTGCAGCTGCTGCTGCAAGACCAGAGGCTGCTACAAGCAGCAGCAGCAAAAGGGGCACTGCAGGGCAGCTCGCTGTGGCGACAGCAGCAGCTGGCTGCTGCTGCTGCTGGAGTGCAGCAGCTGCAGCAGCAGGTAGCAACCGCACGCCAATCCGGCATCGCCGGCCCCACAGAAAACCTCCGCTTGGTTTCGCTGCAACAGCAGCTGCAGCAGCAGCTGCAGCAACTGCAGCAACTGCAGCAAGAGGCAGCAGCAACTCAAATGAGACAACAGGCCTTCACCGAGTATGAGAAAGCCCAACAACGGCAGCTACTAGCGCTGTTGCGGCAGCAGCAGCAACAGCAACAGCAGCAGCAACCGCACCAACAGCAGCAGCAGCAGCAACTGCAGCAGCAGCAGCCTCCAGTAAAACCATGTACCTCTGTCTTTGCAGGGGAATTTGCTGCTGAGGCAGAGCTGTGTCTGCGGCGGCTTATGAAGGAAACGGGAGGAGCAGCAGCACAACCAGCAGCAGCAACAGCAGCAACAGCAGCAACCACAACAGCAGCAACAGCAGCACCAGCTGCTACTGCAGCAGACCCTTCTTGGCCATTCAGATGGCATGCCCATGCTAGCGATGCTGCTTTTGCAGCATGGCTAAATGAAATGCTGCAACAGCAGCAGCAACTGCAGCAGCAGCAGCACCTGCCTCACCAGCAGCAACTGCAGCAGCTGCAGCACCAGCAGCAACAAGTGTATCATCAGCAGCAACAGAAGCACCATCTTGTGGTGCCGAGTATGGAGGTGCTACACCCACAATGCGTAAAGTACCAACAGCAACAGGTGCAGCAGCTGCAGCAACTGCAGCAAATGCATGTGCCGCTGCAGCAGCAGCAGCAGCAGCATGTATTGAACACAGCAGCAGTTCCCCCTGTCTGCGTCTCCATGACTGCAGCTTTGCAGACTCATGAAGGCCTCTCAGCACCAGCAGTAGCAGCAGCAGCTGAAGCAGCAGCTGCTGCTGCAGGCACCAACACGGGGTTGCTGCTACAGCGCAACCAATCCGATGCTGTGCAGCAGCAGCAGCAGCAGCAGCAGCAGCTAAAGGACATCGCTGGTGGAGTCAGTCTGAGGCACATGGCCGTCAGCGCAACCAACCAGCAAGACAGGCAGCAGCAGCTGTTGCTGCAGCAGCAACAGCAGCAGCAGCAGCTGAAGCATCTGCGTCTTGTGGAACAAAACATTCATCAACAAGAGGAGAACAAGCAGCAAGTGCAGCAGCAGCAGCCGCTGCTGCTGCAGCAGCAAGAGCACCAAATCGAAATCGATCCCTCTCCTCGTTGTAGGGAGGACTTGGGGGAGCAGCAACTACAGAAACAGCAAGAGCAGCAAGAGCAGCAAGAGCAGCAAGAACAGCAGCAACAGCAACAGGGACTTCAGCCGCCCTCCACTAGTACGGAAACACTTCAGCCTCCTCAGGAGCAGGAACAGCAGCAGGAGCAGCAAGAGGGGCACCAGCCACAGCAACAGCAACAGCAGCAAGAGCAGCAACAGCAACAGCAACAGCAACAAGAAGAACAACAGAAGCACCAGCAGGAAACCAGTCTACAGGAGCAGCACCAACAGCAGCAGGGACAACCACCGCAGCAAGAAGCCCAGCAACAGCAACAGCAACAGCAACAGCAACAGCAACCACAACAGCAACGCCAACCACAGCAACAACAGCAACAGCAGCAACAGCAGCAACAGCAGCAACAGCAGCAACAGCAGCAACAGCAGCAAAGACCCCATATAAAGAAGAGCAGCCGTAGATCTCCCCAAATGGGGTTGGCAGCAAAGGAATCTGCACCTCGCCGCAGCAGCAAGCAGCAACAGCAACAGCAACAGCAGCAGGTGCAACAACAGCAGCAGCAGGAACAGGAGAAAGACAACCAAAGCAAAGGCGCAGCAGGCTTACAGAAACAGCAGCAGGTAACAGCAGCCAGTTGCACACGCACAAAGCAGCAGCAGCAGCAACAGCAACAGCAGCAAGAGCAGCAGCAGCAGCAGCAAACACCGGAGGTAGAGTCAAAAGCCCCTTCTACCTCGACAGCAGCACAGCAGCAGCCAACTGAAGTAACCCTTGAGAAGTCCGCAGCAGCAGCAACAGCAACAGCAACAGCAGCAGCAGAAACAGCAACAGAAACAGCAGCAGCAGCAGCACCCGTAACGGGTAGCGCCCCAGCATCAATACCGCAGCGTCCGCAGCAGCAACTGCAGCCACGAAAACAGCAGCAGCAACACCACCAACAACAGCAGCAGCCGCAACAGCAGCAGCAGCAGCTGCTGCTGCAGCAGCAGAAGAGAGGCGAATGGTCTGTGTCTCCTCGGCTACAAAGTAAGGGAAGAGTAAAGCAGCGCATGCGGCTGTATGTACAAAGAACGCCAAAGCCTAAGACAGCAGCATCAGCAGCAGCAGCAGCAGCAGCAGCATCTAATCGACAGCAGCAGCAGCCTCAGCCGCAGCAGCAGCAGAAGGTGGAGGGAGTAAAGGGTTCCTCTAGTACCGTATCGATAAGCACTGATAATGCAGCAGCAGCAGGAGCTGCTGCTGCTGAGGAATAGCTGCCTGTACACCCTAAGTAGATAATATGCAGTGTCTATATGTATAATATAATAATATCTAAGAGCTGCCTATACACCCTAACACACCACAGACACCCCGTGCATGCGTGCACGCGCTGCTGCCAACACCAAATGTGCTGCTGCAGCAAACAGCAGCTATTTGCTTCTTATCTTTTCCCTTTGCTGCACCCTACACACAGAGGCAAGGGTGCCCGCATACCTCATTTTGCTGCAGTGTGCATGCAGCAGCAGCAGCAGCAGCAGCAAAGCAGCAAAGCAGACACGAAGCTTTGCTTTTTGCTGCTTTAAGGGATCAATGAAACATAATTTTGGGTGTATATTCAAAGTGTGTGTGCAGTGTATGGTGTACGTATGATGTCTAGGGTTTAGGGTTTAGGGTTTAGGGTTTAGGGTTTAGGGTTTAGAGTGGGTTGGGGGAAAGACAGGGTTTAATATCTTCCTAAATGTCTTAAATAGGTATAATTAATTAAATTAAACGCTAAAATATAAAGAAAGCGATAAAAGAAGGAAAGAAAAGAGGAGAAAGGAAGAAAAGGGTTTCGCCTAGCCAGACCAATGGTTGTGTGCAGCAGCAACGGAGAGGCACGTGGTGCAGTGCGTGTTTTGTTGCTGCGCCTCAACAAATCATTAAAAAAACATAAAAAATGAATACACAAATTAAAAATGTATATAAATGCATTAAAAAAATGTACAAATAGCCGCAGGAAAAGTAGTAACAGAAGCAGAAGGTGCAGCAGCAAGCGGCAGGCCAGTGGAACAGTCCAGCACCAGTTGCAGCGGTCCTTGTGGGGGGCGCAACAGCAGCAAACTTGCTGCTGCTGTCTTCTTGTCTTCCTGCAGCTGCTTCTTGTTCACTCAGTTGTTTCCTTTTGTTTTGTTTATGTTCATCATAGATTAAAACAATAAAAGATTAATTCTTTTAATTCTTTATAGATAGCTGCCTATACACCCCAATTTCCCTCCCTTTTCTCCTTTCTTGGAGGGTCACTTTTAAACGCAGCTGCAGCAGCAGCATCGCAGCAGCAGCAGCATCGCAGCAGCATCGCAGCAGCAGCAAACATTTGCTGCCGCTGCAGTTGTTGTTATTGCCTTTTACTTATTTAATTCCCCTTATTATTTTGTTTACATTTTAATCCTTTTAGACACATAAAGCCAAAAAAAAAAGCCTGCACATTCCCCCCAATTCTTTTCCCTTTTTCTTTTTTTCTTTTTTTTTTCCCTTTATAACAACGGCAATATTAATTTTTTCTTCTTTTTCGTCTTTTTCTTCTTTTCCCCCCCACTAAACAGCAAATAGGTCTCTCTTTAGCCCTACAACACTCCTGCAGCGCTGCTTCTTAACCCCTTCCGTCCTCCTCCTGCCCTCTCTTAGCAGCAGCAGCAGCAGCAGTCTAGCAGCAGCAGCAGCAGCAGCAGCAGCAGCAGCAGTAGCAGCAGCAGCAGCAGCAGCATCAGTAGCAGCAAGCAGTAAGCTTTTACACTAATTTATTTGTCCTTGTCCTTGTTTTTTGCTTTTTTACTTTTTTTTTTCATCTATTGTTGTTTGGTGTGTTTTCTCCTTGGCAGCAGCAGAGCTGCTGCTGCCCCTGCTGTGGCTTTGCTGCTGCTGCTGCTGCTTACAGGGGGGAGGGAGTGTGTAAGTTGCATCGATTCTGCTGCTTCTTCTTCCTTCTGCCTTCTTCTTGAGTGGTTGCCTCTGGAGGCAGTTTTTGAACAATCCTTTTTGCTTCTGCTGCTGCTGCTGCTGTTGCTGCTGCTGCTGCTGGTGCTTCGTGGTCTTGCCCACAGGAGGCCAGTCTTTGCTGCAGCAGCCAGTGGTACTGCTTCTTCTGTTGCTTTTTTTAGCCGTGCTGCTGCTGCTGCTGCCGCAGCTGCACGGACATTAATATACACACAACTGCTGCTGGTGCTGTAGGGGCTGCGCCAACTGCCGTTGCTGCTACCTCCTGTGCTGCTGTGTCCTGCAGCAGCAGCAGCGTCGGCAGCGGCAGCAGCAGCTCGAAGTTGGAGGATAAACACCGGGCTCGTAGGAAGCAGCAGCAGCAGTAGCCGCTGCATCATAAGTATTATACTAACCATCATAAGTGCCACCACAGCCACTAGCAGCTGCAGCAGCAGCAGCAGCGATCGCAGCAGCAGCAGCAGCAGCAGCAATAGCAGGAGGAAATGGATACCCAGGAGGAGACGCCGCCGTGCGGCATTAGTATGCTGTCTGCTGCAGCAGCAAACAAGGATTCTCTTATGAGTGTCTCTACGGCTGCATCAGCAGAGACGAGCTCGAGGCAGCTAGCTGCTTCTGCTGCTGCTGCTGCTGCTGCTGATAATGAGGATGTAGATGACACCTTTGGTGGTCTTATTGACGATGCAGCAGCAGACAAGGCTGCTGATCAGTCTCTATGGACCCTAAAAATAAAAAAACATCATAGTGTGCTGCAGCAGCAGCAGCAGCAGCAGCAGCAGAAGATCCTGCGTTTGCAGCAGCAGCCGCATCAACACCAACAAACAACAACCACAGCAGCAGCAGCAGCAGTAGTAGCAGGGACAGGTACTGCTGCTGTGTCTGCTGTTGAGCTCCAGCTAGCAGCAGTAGCAGCAGCAGCAGCAGGACGTGCTCTGTGTGGCGCTTCTCCCGCTGCAGCAGGGACACCCCCAAGCCCATTGCCACCTGCCCCTGCACCGGCATCCACAGCAGCAGCAGCAGCAGGAGGCTGCCAAGACCCGCTGCCGCTGCTCGAACTCCCCCCACCAGCAGCAGCATATACTATGCTGCAGGAGGACAGCGAAGCATCTAACTTTCTTGTTAGCAGTGCATCAGTAAGCCCTTCCCCTGTGCTGCTGGATGCTGTTAATGAGGCAGCAGCAGCAGCAGCAACAGCAACAACAACAACTGCAGCAGCAGCAACAACAACAGCAACAACAACAGGTGTAACTGCAACAACAGCAGCAAAACAAAAAGTAACAACAAAGGCACTGGAGGTCCCAACACCTGACCATTGGAAACCAACAAAGAGCAGCAGGCAGCAGCAGAAACAGCAGAAACAGCAGCAGCGGCAGCAGCAGCGGCAGCAGCAGCAACAACAACAGCAACAACAACAACAGAGACAACAAAGGGAACGTGCTGGTGACTCCCTGCATGCAGAGGTAGGGAGTGTATGGGCATGGAATGGGATCGACAGCAATGCAGCACGCAACAGCAGCAGCAGCAGCAGCAACGGCAGCAACAGCAACAGCAGCAACAGTCTGTGGGGTGCTGATGTGTCTCCGCAGCTTGCATGCAGCCCCAACGGCTGGGCACCAGAAGAAATAAAACAAATGTGCGGCAATTTCCCCCGCGTCTCCAACGGCCAAGACATGCAGCAGAAGCTGCTGCAGCAGCAGCTGCAGCAGCTGCTGCAGCAAAAACAGAAACAGCAGCAGCAGCAGCAGCAACAGGACTCGTGGGAGTTGGATGGTTGGAAACAGCAGAAGCCAGGGGATCTCTTCTGCAGCAAGACAGCGCAGCCGATGGCGACAGAAGCAGCAGCAGCAGCAGCTGCTGCTGCTGCTGCTGTTGACCCCGTGCTGCTAGCGGAAGCTCTGCTTAGAGATGAGGCTCTCCGCGAGCCTCCAGGTGTATGTACACCAGCAGCAGCAGCAGCAGCAGAAGAGGAAGGGAAAGACTCCCTCCTAGGGCCCCGAAGGCAACATAAACAGGAATGGCGCTTGCAGACTGAGCAGCAGAAGCAGCGACAGCCGCAGCAGCAGGAAGAGCAGCAGCTGGATGTGGATACACCACGGCAACAGCAGCTGCAGGTGATGGAGTTGCTTGAGCGAAGCAGCAGCAACAACAGCACCAGCAGCAGCAGCAACGACAGCAGCAACAGCAACAACAGCGGCGCTGATTTTCTGCAGGGTTTCCTGTCGCTTCCTGCTGCAGATATTGATGAGGACAGCAGCAAGTGCATGCAGAGATTTGCTGCCTGCAACAACAACAACAGCAGCAGCAGCAGCATGCAGCTGCAGGCAGCAGACCTGCAGCAACGGAACCTAGACTTCGGGGCTTGGAATACAGGAACTAATGGCTGCAGCAGCAAAGGAGACAGTTGTTTCCCTGGAGGGGACAGCTTGGAGTATAGTGCCAACAGCAACAGCAGCAGCAACAACAGCAGCAGCAGCAACAACATCAGCAGCAAGCTGCAAATGCTGCAACAGGATGGCACTTTGCTGCCTAAGAGCCCCAGCTTCACCAACCTAGCAGCAGCAGCAGCAGCAGCTCACAAGAGGCAGGAGACCGACATACATGCTTCTGGTTTTCCTGGTTTTGCTGCTTCTGCTGCTGCCGCCCCAGCTGCTGCTGCTGCTCTTTTTAGCAGCTCTTTTACGGGTCTCGTGGGAGCAGAGGAAGCTGCACCATGGGAAACGAAGGAGACACCTGAGGAAGGAGACAGTAGGGCATTGTCTCCAATGGCTCTGCTGCAACAGCAGGGCCCTGTCCAGCCAGCAGCAGCAACAGCAGCCGTAGGCCTCGGAGGAGGCAACTGCGTAGAGGGGAGCAACTGGACAGGTGGTGGTGGTGGTGCAGCAAGTTGTTTACTTTCAGCAGCAGCAGCAAAGAACAACTCATCACCTCCAGCTACCCTTACAACATCTGTAACAAACAACAGCAACAGCTGCAACAGCAGCAGCAGCAGCAGCAGCACGCAACATTTAGCAGATCTTGCAGGTCTAATGTTGTCGTTGCAGAGGCAGCAGCAGCGAGGAGGAGAAGGTTGTCTTGATTGGCTAGGAGACCCTTCTTCTCTTCTTGCTCGTTTAGCTGCTGCTGCTGCTGCTGCTGCATCATCATCATCTGCTCCTGGTGGTGTAGATAGAGGAGCAGCAGCAGCAGTAGTAAGTGCAGCAGCAGCAAACGTTGCTGCAGCAACAACAACTACAGGGAGATGTCATAACAGCAGTAACGGACGGAGCTGTGATGGCATAACCAACGCGAAACCGTCTCGCGCAGGTACAGGTGCAGCAGCAGCAGCAGCAGCAGCAGCAGCAGGTGCAGCAGATAGATCTGCTATAATCAATAGCAGCAGCAGCCCCTCCCTAACTCCTACAACGCCCAACAGCCGCTCAACAACAACAAACAACCCCACTACCATGACCACTCCAAATAACCACCACAGCACGACGCACAACAACAGCAGCAACAACAGCAGCAACAGCAACAACAGCAGCAGCAACAGCAACAATAGTGTTGCTACTTATACATTAATAGTAAATGTACCACCAAATACAACTCGTCAAGATTTGTTGGCGACTTTCAGCGAATTCGGAAAAGTTGAATTAACTGTTGTTGTATGCGATAAAGAACATAGGCACCCTAATAGGGAATGGACTGCTACTAGTGGTAAGGAAATTGTATAAATAAATAAATATAAGTTAATTAATTAATTAATTAATTAATATAATTAATATATTAATTATAGTTGTATAGTACAGGTAGGTAGGTAGGTAGGTAGTTAGGTAGGTAGGTAGGTAGGTAGGCAGTAGGGAAGTAGGAAGTTGTTATAGGTGATAAAGAACATAGGCACCCTAATAGGGAATGGACTGCTACTAGTGGTAAGGGGAATTTAATTAATTAATTAATTAGTTAATTAGTACAATTATAATTACTTAATTAATTCCCCTTACCACTAGTAGCAGTCCATTCCCTATTAGGGTGCCTATTTTATTCTTATTGTATAGAATAGGTAGGTAGGTAACGAGGAGTAGTAGGAAGTCGATAAAGAACAGAGGCATCCTAGTATGTGGTAGGGAAATATGTCTTCTTTACCTTTTATTAATTAATTAATTTATAATACTTGTATACAGTAGTATATTAGATACTAGGAGGAGTATTGAGTAGTTGTATGTGATAAGAAGCATCGATATCCTAATAGGGAATGGACAACTAGAGATAAATAAATTAAGTATATATATATATATA